GCTGCGGCTGCGTCTGCGGCGGCTGCTGCCAGCTCTCCGACATGCTTGGGAAGATGAAGCAGGGCTTGGACAGTAATGGCTTCAGTTTCCCCGATTAAGATGACCCAACCCAGAGAGAGAAGGTGCCCGGGATCAGGGGTGGACGAGGACCTCAGACAAGGCACAGAGGAGGGACTTCTGGTCAGATGGCCCCAGTCATTAACCAAGACAGGCTACAAGGCTCTGCCTACAGCACCCGGGGCTCTTCGGGGCAGGGTGCCAACAATGCCAGGGAGGCTCTGCCTTCCCGGATGACGGGTTCTGTAGAAAAGAGAGAAATCGTGAGAATGAGGCAGGGTCCCGCCACTGGGCCCTCTCCCTGTTTTTCCTGCACTTGCCTCATTGACATAAACCACACCAAGTGGTGCTACTGCAGGGCCGAATGGCTGCCAAACCTTCCCTGCTCGGAGCTGGGAGGTCTGCTCCCTTCACACACCACCAGAGAAGTCTGTTGGCAGCTCAGCGCCTCCGGCAGAAGGGACAATAGCTGTGTCCACCCCACCTGGGCCAGGACGTCCCAGCCCCCCACGTACTGCCAACCTTCTTTCACCAGCTGCCTCACAGGTGAGAGTCCGCGGTGACCTGTCCACCACACAAAGAAGTCACAAATTCTGCTCAGGCTCCAAGAAAAGCTGACCAGTTTGGGCCACGGTATCCAAAACAATGATTTTAGCAGCATAACTTTTTTTTTTTTTTTTTTTGGCCAATAAATTCTTACTTGGAAGCCCAGTATATAAGATGGATAAAAGCAGAGAGGCTCCGTTTGGGGCCTCCCTAAGGCCTGCCAGCTCCTCTCCCGTTGCTGCCCTGAATTCCAACTCGGAACATCACTGCTCAGAACAGCCTGCTGGGTCAAAGAGGCCAGGCCTCCCAGGTGTGAGGGCCCCACAGCAAACGGCCTCCATCGGTCAATATTTCAAACAACTGCACGGAACAAAGGACCCTCTCAAAACCTTCTCTTGTGAGGGGCTGGCCCACATCCCTTTCAACTATCCCCTTGGCAGGGGTCCTCAAACTTTTTAAACGGGGGCCAGTTCACTGTCCCTCAGACCGTTGGAGGGCCGGACTATAGTTTAAAAAAAAAACTATGAACAAATTCCTATGCACACTGCACATATCTTATTTTGAAGTAAAAAAACAAAACGGGAACAAATACAATATTTGCATTTGCATGTGGCCCGCGGGCCGTAGTTTGAGGACCCCTGCCCTAGGCCCTCCACCCTGACCAGGCGACTGCTCTCTCTCCCTACACGCAGGTTGGACGGTCTTTCGGGGACCTGAGCCAATGCATGATGAGATTAAATGATAGGTCCACTGACCCACCAAGCTTCAATATCTACAGGAGAATTTCTACTAATCCCACAGAGTATCAAAAAAAAAAAAAATAGTGCTAAATCCTCTGATGTGACTGTGCTGAGGCCTGCAGGGAGATATAAGCAATTCCAAGCTTGCCTCTGCATCGTGGGGAGTAACCTGCTAAGCACAGAGCGTTTCTCCTCATCACCTTCCCAAAGACCATCCTGCTCCCTGGCTCCGAGTCTACAACTTCCTGGGTAAAGACCACCCAGTCCAGGCAAATCTCTAACTCACCACTTTGTGGCAGCATAAGGTAATGACAGCGAGAGGGAGGAACTTTTAGAATCCAATGTAACCCACGTACAGGTTCCCAGCTCTTCTGCCTCTAAAACTGAAAACTTTCAAAGTTTTCTCCTGAGGGAAAGAGAAGTGGTTGCCTTCACCGGCCGGCCTGGCCTCTAACTGTTCTGCCAAAGAAACGTGAGAGTCAGGCTGAAAGCTGTCACCCTCCATCTTCTGGGAAGAGGGGGAAAGAGCCGTTGGGCTGGGTGAAGGCAGCAGGTTGCACGAGCTGGCAGGTGCCAAAGCCTCCCCAGAAGAGAGGGAAGCGGGGCTCCTCCAAGGGCGGTGTAGGCTGCGCCAACACAGCTGTTTTTTCCTGCATGAATGGCTGCCAAACATAAGGTCCCTGGCCCAGGGCCCCCAGCGCCACTGCCCACCCACTCCAGGAAGGTGCAGCCACGAGGCCTCCCTGATCGCCCTGCAGAGAGAGTGGGGTAGGGAAGCAAGGGGGAGGCCCACCCCCGCGCCCCACCCCAGCCCTTTCTCATCCCGGGGAGGGCGAAAGAAACACCTCCCCACCGGCTCAGCTCCGCAGCGCCTGTCAGCCCTCG